CATCACACATCCACTGACATAAACGTTCTTCTTGATGATACCACTATTTGTCCCTCCCCAGATGTAAAGTTCATTAAACTGTTTTTTCCCTTCACCGTCGTCAATCCTGCAAAGATGTCTTCAGATCACATAAAGTTCTAACTTTCCCTTCCATTTACATTTTAGAAACATTATCATTTATCAAGAAAAATCAATCATCATATAGCTATCCAAGTATCCATAGTTATCGTCTCCGCATCAATTTCAATCTTTCAGTACCACGACACTCAACCACTTTCTTTCAGGAAAATTTCCACTTCAATGCAGTAAAACTTTTTAATGACCTCCCTCTCCCTTTGAAAGCCGAACAGAACATCGGAAAATTCAGGAAATTAGTTAAGTCCATGTTGATAAATAAGGTCTGCTACAGCGTCCGGGAATTTGCTGGTAGTCTTTAACCTTATCTATATAAATAAAATTAAAGTTTTGTCTGTACATTGCTCAGAATCATACAATTTTAGGTTATTTTTACGTTTTATACATTAAAGAAGCCGAAACAAGTCTCATCTAAATTTCTGTCTGTCTGTCTGTAACACTCAAGATGGCATTTTACGCAATCTTCTCCAGGAAAATGAGAGTACCTATCAAGATCCAAGTCATTTTTTTAATGTATTCACTCGATTGTTGAGAGTGTCTTTAGCCATTAAAATATGGCCTCACTACTTAGTAAATAAAATTACGGACGTTCAAAAATGCAGTTTTGTGCGATTTTTGTCAAGTTTTCGTCCAATTTTTATCACATAATGATCTATGAAATAGCGAACAGCTGTTCGGATCAAGATTATTTTTTCTAGCTGTCACTTATATGTTTACAAATGTTGTTTACAAATACCGCAACCATTTCCAATCACGTTTTGGAGGCAAATCCCACCCAAGTGAGATTAAAAACGCTTTTCTTACATAACGGATTTAATTAATCGCAAGTGGAATAATATAGTGTAACCTTAATTAAAATTAAATAAAAAAAGTATATAAATAAAATAAGTATATAAATCCTACTAATATTATAAATGAGAACGTTTGGATGTATGGATGTATGTTTGTGACAAGTAAACGCGAAAAATACTGGTCGGATTGGGCTGAAATTTGGCATGATAATAGCTATCATTCCCGATTAACATATAACTTAGACGCACTCTTAACGCAAAAGTCCTTTCGGGCTCCGCCCCAGTGGCTCAGGAGTTTCCCATGATAACCTTATGAGTAATCATAAAAAGGAATAAAATAATTTTGTCAGCTGTTTCAAATACACAAGTTGGTTCTATGAAATTGAATAGCATTAACAAGCTATAAGGTTTACCAACAGAGTGTAACAATTTTATACAACAAATGTAAAGATCAAAATTTTTCTATTTTGTGTCCTCTTCCCATTGCAAAGCACGGGTACAACAGCTAGTTAAACGTAAAAGAAAACAATTTGTATATAATGTATTTAGTAGTTAATTAATTTCATAATAAATGTAATCTCTTGACTTGGCCAATGCAATGTATTGTTAATCTGGTTTAATAAAGGACTTTGACTTTGATATAAACAAAGATTTGAACGAATAGTGTTTTTTACCTTTGGGAACATCAAAATTAAAAAGTAAATCAGTCAGCGTGCTCTACGGAGTAATAGCTACTTCCATTAGGACCTTGAGCACAATATATTTTTCATTACTGCAGTCACAAATCTTACAGAAAATCTATTTATAGAGCAACGACAAAAACCAATTTAGATTCTATTCTTATTAAACAAAAAAAGGCTATTCATGTAATGTTGAAACTGCAAAAATAGTTTCAGCTAGAAGATATCTTACAGCATAGCAAATCGGAACAGTACATAATCTGTATATTTTTAACACCCGTCTATGCAAAACAAATTCAATATCATCCACTTCATAAGCAATTCTGGTGACTATAACACTAGATTCACAATTAACTTACCAGCTTTTATAAAGAGGGAAGAAAATTTAAATAAATTTAAAAGAATGCTTAAAATTTGGATTTTAAAATCCCATTTCTATTTTATTCCTCAGAAGGCTTATTTTAAACAAAAAATGAATTAGTTTTCGTAGGCCCACATCATTAAAATTTGAATTCCATAAACAATATTAGGGGAACGGTTTGAAACGTTCCCTACCGACCATCACACTCCTCTGTAACTGAGGGATGAGTATAGTTGGTAGCTAATGTGTTAACACGTTCCCTAGCAACCATCACACTCCTCTGTAACTGAGGGATGAGTATAGTTGGTAGCTAATGTGTTAATACGTTCCCTACCGACCGTCACACTCCTCTGTAACTGAGGGATGAGTATAGTTGGTAGCTAATGTGTTAACACGTTCCCTAGCAACCATCACACTCCTCTGTAACTGAGGGATGAGTATAGTTGGTAGCTAATGTGTTAACACGTTCCCTAGCAACCATTACACTCCTCTGTAACTGAGGGATGAGTATAGTTGGTAGCTAATGTGTTAACACGTTCCCTAGCAACCATTACACTCCTCTGTAACTGAGGGATGAGTATAGTTGGTAGCTAATGTGTTAACACGTTCCCTAGCAACCATCACACTCCTCTGTAACTGAGGGATGAGTATAGTTGGTAGCTAATGTGTTAACACGTTCCCTAGCAACCATTACACTCCTCTGTAACTGAGGGATGAGTATAGTTGGTAGCTAATGTGTTAACACGTTCCCTAGCAACCATTACACTCCTCTGTAACTGAGGGATGAGTATAGTTGGTAGCTAATGTGTTAACACGTTCCCTAGCAACCATCACACTCCTCTGTAACTGAGGGATGAGTATAGTTGGTAGCTAATGTGTTAACACGTTCCCTAGCAACCATTACACTCCTCTGTAACTGAGGGATGAGTATAGTTGGTAGCTAATGTGTTAACACGTTCCCTAGCAACCATCACACTCCTCTGTAACTGAGGGATGAGTATAGTTGGTAGCTAATGTGTTAACACGTTCCCTAGCAACCATTACACTCCTCTGTAACTGAGGGATGAGTATAGTTGGTAGCTAATGTGTTAACACGTTCCCTAGCAACCATTACACTCCTCTGTAACTGAGGGATGAGTATAGTTGGTAGCTAATGTGTTAACACGTTCCCTAGCAACCATCACACTCCTCTGTAACTGAGGGATGAGTATAGTTGGTAGCTAATGTGTTAACACGTTCCCTAGCAACCATTACACTCCTCTGTAACTGAGGGATGAGTATAGTTGGTAGCTAATGTGTTAACACGTTCCCTAGCAACCATTACACTCCTCTGTAACTGAGGGATGAGTATAGTTGGTAGCTAATGTGTTAACACGTTCCCTAGCAACCATCACACTCCTCTGTAACTGAGGGATGAGTATAGTTGGTAGCTAATGTGTTAACACGTTCCCTAGCAACCATTACACTCCTCTGTAACTGAGAGATGAGTATAGTTGGTAGCTAATGTGTTAACACGTTCCCTACCGACCATCACACTCCTCTGTAACTGAGGGATGAGTATAGTTGGTAGCTAATGTGTTAACACGTTCCCTAGCAACCATCACACTCCTCTGTAACTGAGGGATGAGTATAGTTGGTAGCTAATGTGTTAACACGTTCCCTAGCAACCATCACACTCCTCTGTAACTGAGGGATGAGTATAGTTGGTAGCTAATGTGTTAACACGTTCCCTAGCAACCATTACACTCCTCTGTAACTGAGGGATGAGTATAGTTGGTAGCTAATGTGTTAACACGTTCCCTAGCACACACTCCTCTGTAACTGAGGGATGAGTATAGTTGGTAGCTAATGTGTTAACACGTTCCTTACCGACCGTCACACTCCTCTGTAACTGAAGGATGAGTATAGTTGGTAGCTAATGTGTTAACACGTCCCCTACCGACCGTCACACTCCTCTGTAACTGAGGGATGAGTATAGTTGGTAGCTAATGTGTTAACACGTTTCCTACCGACTGTCACACTCCTCTGGAACTGAGGAATGAGTATAGTTGGTAGCTTAAGTGTCAAGTTTACACCATGTTTAAGAATACTTTTAGTAATTTTAAATTTATTTTAGTCTAGAAAATAAATTTATATGAGCATTTTGTATATTTGTATAGATTTATTTAAAGCCTGTAAGTAATTTGACTCTAGTCAATACATGTCCTTTGTGTAAAATTAATAAAATGATTTGATTTGACTAAGAAACATTTGCTAAAAAGAGATAATACAATTTTTTTATGAAAAAAACCAGTATATAAGAACTTTTACACATTTCGTTTCAAATCTTTTGTTTATTTAAAAAACATATTGACAATTTCTGCTTTTGTTCACCCTTGAGAGGTGACTTTTGCTTATTATTAGAAGTCCTAGTATCTCGCTTGCATTTTTCTAGAGGCTTCAGGCTTCACCTAATTTCACATTCTTTTATCCTTTAAAACCCCTTACATCCAGTCAGATTGTTAAGAGTCATGTGACACGGAAGCTGCCACCATGTGTAGCCTCTCGCGACTGTGATTTCCATAGTTTAGTTCTGTGTGTCATCTCTTCTTTTTTTGTTTTTATTTGTATACTTGTTATAGTATAGTAAGAGTATAAAATATGGTAATGTTATTATTCTAAACTGTGTTATGTAGGCCTACATATTCACACTGTTTTTATATAATTTAATTACACAAGAACAATTTTGAGAGTCATTTTTTGTGTTTTGAATCAATGATTCCCAAAAATGGTTAAATATTATGTAAGGTGTGTGTGGTGATGGTACACTTTTAACCTATGAATAAATATACAAATATATGAGGCTACATTAGATAATCATAAAATCATCAACACAAGCCTATTATGCAGCAGAAGGTTGATATTCCTGTAGCAGAGTCAACAAGGTCAATTGACATTTTGTATACAATTTTCCCTTTGACATTGCTTGGAAAGTGAGGTTAAAAGTAAAAATAAATGTCATCATCCAAATATTAATAAACACAAGACACTTACTCGCCAAGTCTTCGAATTGCTAGATAGTGAGCCATTCGGATAAAACAGTGTCCAGACATGAATGCATCCCAGGCCGCCTCATGAAGGTGACTCTCCACATCTGGAACATCCATGGTAGTGTGATCGATCAGTTGTTTACAAAGAAAATTCATAGAATAGCTCGAACACAATTTATAAAAAGCTTTTTGCTGACGAAACAGATAATAATGGCACTGTTTCACAATCATAAAATTTACAAACACTGTCAAGCCTTCCCAAACTTAATCATCATATTTATGATATGTGAGTAATATGAAAACTAAATGAAATAAAACAGAGTTTAAATATATCAATAAGATCCAGGCCTTTTTCAACAATAATTTGGATGTTATGAGATCTGTCCTGTCTATTAGAAAGGCAGCATGTTTAGGCAACATATTCCCTGAACATGATTTTAGCTGGGAGTGGCAATAGATTGATATACAGGGTGGTAAAAAAGTCCCAGGGCAGTTAAATATTTTTAAGAATAATTTAGATAGAGCTACAATACTTGGTACAAAGTTACAGGGCATAAAACTCTATTTTAACACATATTCAGTGATCCAATAACTCTTCAGGGGGACGGCCCGCAAGGAGTCGGAAAAAAATCTTAAATGGAAGCATAGGTCAATATGCACATCAAATTAAAGGTCTTTTTTAGTAAAATACAATGCTGCAAACCGCACTTCAAAAGGTTGATCCTGCGCAAAATGGCAGATGTTCAAAGATTTCTTAACCCTTAACGACTCAGGCCATTTTTTACTCAGGCATTCTTTTGAGCTTGAATTAACGGCATCGTAATCTACTAGTGAAGACCTTTAATTTGATGTGCATATCGACCTATGCTTACGTTAACAATTTTCTTCCGATTCCTAGGGCTGTGCCCCATGAGGAGTAAGCGTATAATAGCAATGTAAATTAAATGAAACTTTAAACAACTGTCATTTTGCGCAGGATCAACCTTTTGAAGTGCGGTTTGCGGCATTGTATTCTACTAAAAAAGACCTTTAATTTGATGTGCATATTGACCTATGCTTCCATTTAAAATTTTCTTCCGACTCCTTGTGTTCGTCCCCTTGAAGAGTTATTGGATCACTGAATATGTGTTAAAATAGAGTTTTGTGCCCTGTAACTTTGTAACAAGTATTGTAGCTTTAGCTGCATTATTTTTTTAAATATTTAACTGTCCTGGGACTTTTTTACCACCCTGTATAGCTGGTTCTACTTGAATAGCTAACATAATTTATGAGCTCTTCCTTCTTGGGCTGAATCCCTGGCTTGTGTGGTTAAACAAATAACGATATGACGAGGAATCAATACAGGTGGTAATGTTTACAAAAGGGGTCAGTGGAAGAAGGCGGTATGTTACAGAAAGTAAGTTTTAAAATATTTGGCATTAAAGTTTGTAACTGGGACTAAATTTTTTATATTTTTATTTGAGGTTTGAAATATATACAGGGTAATTGGTATCCAACAGCTGGATTTTTACACGGATCTCGTTCCGACACATTTGTAGGTATTGGTGTGTCTGTGTGTCTGTATTCACCGAATAGTGGCATCCTTCACAGGCACACGGCTGTACTGTGGCACCTTGAAAAATTGTGGCACCTTTTTTCAGGGTGCCACAGTTAATTCGATCATTTTTGGGGTTTTCCAGCATTATTACGTCGTTTAAACATCACATGCCACAATTGAGTATTTTTCATCTCTCCAATGTGTGTTTAAGTAGCGCAGGCACACGCCGAATTGTGGAACACGAAACCATGCCAGCAGCTAGCGCGCCTCGCGTCGTCCACCGGAACTACAACTTCCTTAATGCTACGTTGCCAATTCTCGCGCCAGCCTACACTCTAGTTTTAATTGTGGCACCATGCCGCAATTCAGTATATATCAACAGTGTGTGTACAGGATGCCACTTAATGAGTTGTAGCGCTTGAGCAGTGTGTAGAACAGTGCAACAAGCAACGAATAAACTAATAATACTGTACTGCCACGTACTATAAAACAATTTAAGTACCATAAATAATATACTTTTGCTCCGAGGGGTGAACGATGTTTTACATTACAAATAATTTGTGTAGTAAATAATTATTTAAATTGTTTTTATGCCACCATTTAAAATTTATATTTTTATTTACAAACATAAGTTGGTAACGTAGTTACTTTGTATCAATTGCATTTTTACATTGAAACAATAACAATGGTTTAGGTTAGAACACTATATAAATTGCCCTATGCTACAATTTTTTATCTTACAAACTATTTCATGCTGATACTTCTATTTTATTAACATTCTAGTCATGTTGACAAAATATTTTACAATTACATTGATGAATCACACAGTAAAGGTAGATTTCGATGCATCATTGCTGAAAGTTATGTTTTGCTTCTCACTCTCCGAGTATTCCAAAGACATCTAATATTTCAATCCATGTTCAATGTTATATGAGGTAAACATATAACTGAATCAATAAAAGTACTTAAATTAAAATACATATTATTATCAACATGCATAAACTAGTTCAGATTATACTAGAGGACCCATGCTGCTCCGCAGCGTTAAAATAATTATTATATCCGAGAAATAATCAAATTTATAATTTTTTATTGAGTAATACGGTATCTTGAGCTTAACTGATTCAAACAATCAATAGCTCAATTTAAATCCTATAATTTACTGATTATTTTGTGTCTAAAACATATATAGAAAAACAGGAACAATACTGGAGCTATTGATTTTTAACCATATTAAAACATTATGAAAAATAATTTTTATATTGGTTATTCACCTTGCATTTGCTTGAAACTCGTCGGATTTGAATAACTTAAATGAAAGCCAGTATTTAACTGAAGGTTCTTAGACTAAAATATATGGGATTATAAATCTATAACTGGTAAAGGTACATCTTAATTTGAAGTAAGAAATATAAAATAAATCAAATTATGTGTTCTGGTCGTGTAATACTGTAGGTAAATATTTGTAGATGATTGATGGCAAATTTGTGCGTGCATACCTTCAATTCGAGACCTCAATCATGAAAATCGGTCGGGTAGAAGAGCCAAACGAACTCGGCAAAGAAAAACCAAATTTAACTCTCATAAGAAATACATGGGGAGCAAATTTCGTTTACGTATAAACCGAGTAATACTATAGATAATTATATGCCGATACTTGATGGCAAATTTGTGCGTGCATACCTTCAATTTGAGACCTCAATCATGAAAATCAGTCGGGTAGAAGAGCCCATCGAACTCGGCAAAGAAAAGCCAAATTTAACTCCCATAAGAAATACATGGGGAGCAAATTTCGTTTACGTATAAACTGAGTGGGATTATAGATAAATATATGCCGATGCTTGATGGCAAATCTGTGCGTGCATACCTTCAATTTCAGACCTCAATCATGAAAATCGGTCGGGTAGAAGAGCCAAACGAACTCGGCAAAGAAAAACAAAATTTTACTCCCATAATAAATACATGGGGAGCAAATTTCGATTACGTATAAACCGAGTAATACTATAGATAATTTATATGTCGATGCTTGATGGCAAATCTGTGCGTGCATACCTTCAATTTGAGACCTGAATCATGAAAATCGGTCGGGTAGAAGAGCCAAACGAACTCGGAAAAGAAAAACCAAATTTTTTTAATATATAAGATATCATCTCACAATCATATTTGCAAAACCTACTGTGGTGTTTTAACCAGTCCCCACTAACAAAATCATAAAATGAAAGGTCCTAAAGAGGTTAACTTTGAGTCATAACAAGAGTAGTTTAAAAGTTGTAACCGTGATACTGTAAATAATTTTATATCGTTTGATATTATACAATAGTTTTACAATTTTGTCAATCTATCTGTTACTTTAAGTTTAAATATAAATGTATTTTTTTTATTCAACGTTTTGTTTTGTAGAACCTTTAGTATTCTCAACTTTATTAATAATAAACCTATTTCAACATACAATATCAATTTTAGGAAATTCCTTGTAGGTATGGTTGGAAATATATTGGCATACGTAAAGTTTGTGTAATGTTTTTTAAAAACACAATGTGTTATATTTTACTTTATTTATTATATATTTAATATGTTTCTACTTCTTGAAATTCTCAGTTAACTGGGAGGCGGAGCAAACATTTTGTTCTAAAATGAACTTGGAAATTCTAAACAATCTTTTTTTCTGTTGGTTTACTTAGGGGCGGTTTGGGAGCTCGAGCCCAGTTAGTACACGCCTAGTGTTGGGCGCGCCTAACTTTAGTCTCCGGACCAGAAACCAGGCTTGGGAGCTCGCGCCTAAGTTGAAATGGTCGTAGATCAAGTATAGTCGCGCCTAAGTTGCAGCGCGGCTAGATGGACAGGGAATCGCGGGGAATTCAGGTTTTGACGTTGGCAACGGCCATTGCAGAACCCGTTACCGTTGACAACAACAAAAGATGAACACTTATTGAAGATGGATACAATTTTATCTTGGTATATCAATGGTAGCTAATTAGTAGACTATGGTGTATGTTTCTGCATTGTACTATTGCAAAAATGTAGTTTTGTAAGATCGTTGTTTTACATCCCAATGACTGAAGAACCATAATTGTTTATATTAAATTCTTTTAAGATCTAACTTTATTTTCACTTTACGATTTATAATTATTTAATCAGTTGTCTTTAAGTACTACTAGTTGTCTTTTAAGTACTACATCTTATAAATACGTACAGAGCAACATAGGATTAACATTGGAAACTCGGTTTCATGCAATAAAAAGCTTCAAAATTAAACAGTAATTTCCCAGTATAATATAGGGGTATTGACAACAAAAATAATAAAAAGTAATTGCGGAGGTTATGATTGTGTGAAGCCAAAGTAAATGTAAAAAAAATCTTTTAAATACAGTACTTAGAAAAAATTGTTGTCAATTTAAAATCTTTTTTTACATGACACTGTTTTATCTAATTTTCCTAGGGATTAATTTATCCTAATAATTGATATTTTATCCTAATTTTTATCTATTTTAGATAAAATTTCTTTTATCTAATTTTCAAAAACACTGTTCGTTCAAAATTTTATATATGTATACTATACATTATATA